CAAGTCATCCACTACCCTTAACCAATACCAACACTTTGAATCAATCGCATATCGAACAAACAACAATCAGTTCAATCATACAAAAGCCAAGAATCAATTACACATCTTCTGAAGCATGGCGATATAATCGAGGTGTCTCTATACGTATTCGGATAGATTCTAATCGAAGTCGTTTATATTGTCTTTGTCCTCCAAGTTATTATGGCGATGAATGTCAATATCAAAATCAACGTGTGAGTCTTACTGTTCAAATTCGAGTTTCATCAGATTGGAAAAAGCTTTTCATTTTTCTTCTAACTTTAAATGATAATGAAAAAAACATTGAATCCCATAATTATATTGAATATTTACCTATTCGTGATTGTAATACAAAATATAATACTTATTTACTTTATTCGACTCGACCAAAAAATTCCTCAAAAAAATATTTAGTTCAAATTGATGCATTTGATCAATTAACATTAACTCATCGAACAAGTTGGATTTATCCATTAGAATTTACTTTTCTACCTGTTCATCGTTTATCTGTTTTACTGAAAAATCCTATGTTCAAGATCGAATCCATAAAGAAACAATGTTGGCCACCATGTATTCATGGTCAATGTCTCTCTTATATCAATAATCAAAATTTAACGTATTGTCATTGTGAATCTGGTTGGTCGGGTATTCAATGCAATGTAAATCATACATGTAATTGTGCACCAGGTTCATTATGTATTAGCAGTTCAATTTGTTTGTGTCCATCAGGTCGTTTTGGTCATCGATGTTATTTAGTTGAATCATCATGCCAATCTCAAACATGTCTTCATGGTGGACGATGTGTTATAAAAGATATACGTTATCGATATTCGAATCAAAATCAGTCAATTTGTATTTGTCCCCAAGGTTATACAGGAGATCATTGTGAATATCGAGAAAATCAAACTGAAATTGATTTATCATTTGATGATCTTGAAACTATTCCATCATCTTTATTGATTCATTTGATTTTGATTGAAGAAACTGCTGTACCCAAACGAACGAGTATCATGAAAAAAATTCGTTTTGATGAATATTCAATAAAAATTTTAACTTCAGTTATGTTTCATATGGCATTCGCACAAATCCTAAAAGATTATTATTTAATTATTATTCATGAAAATCCAATTATTTTCGAACAAATATCAACAAAAATAATTTCTTCTTATCGATGTCGTTCAATTGTTGAACTATTTTCGAATCGACATATATTAAAACGAGTAAAATATTATCATATTCCATGTCAAACATATGTTGAATTAAATTGTTTTTATGATGAAGTTCATATCTGTTTATGCACTCGTGATCGACAAGCAAATTGTTTTGAATTTGATCACAATATGAAATATGATTGTAATGGTTCAAATTTTTGTGAACATCAAGGAAATTGTTTTCTAGGTGATGATAAATGTCCGACATCAGCATTTTGCGCTTGTCCTAATTGTTATTTTGGATCAAAATGTCAATTTTCTACTAAAGGATCAACTCTATCATTGGACATCATTTTAGG